GAAGGAAGGAAGGAAGGAAGTATGGAAGTAAGGAAGGAATAAGGAAGTAAGAAAGGAAGGAAAGAGGTAAGGAAGGAAATAAGGGAAAAAGAATAAGGAAGGAAGGAGCTAAGGAAGAAAGTACGGAAGGAAGAAATTAAGGAAGGAAGTACAGAAGGAAGTATGGAAGTAAGGAAGGAATAATGAAGTAAGAAAGGAAGGAGGTAAGGAAGGAAGGAAGTTAGGAAGGAAGGATGTATGGATAGAAAACGTAATGAAAGAAGGACCTAAAGGCACTTCATTTTTGGGTAATTATTATATTTCAACTTCTTATTAAAATATATTTGCTAATCTGCTTTTAATATTGTATATTACATTTGAAAGAAAAAAGATTTGTAATGTTTTAAAAGTAACATACAGTTAAGCAATTGAATGAAGTATTTTAAGAGACAGGTAAAAATACTTTAATAAAGACAGATAACAGATAAGAGTAGGTGAGCTGGACATCTGCAACAAAATATGTTTATCTCTGTAAGAGTTTCAAGAGTATTAAAAATGTTAAAGTTGTAAAAGCCTGCATCAAATGTCTGCTAAAATCTTATTCTTACCCGCTCTGCAAAAAGCTAAGTCTTGGTTTTGGGTAATCTCTGCCAGTTTTGGAGTGGTTAATTCTGCAGATTTTTTTTTTCTACAACAGCTTGTGTTTATACAACAATTAACATTTGAGGACTCTTTGTTTACAGCGTATGTTAACAAAAAAATGGACAGATTTTTCTGAAAACATGCTCATATTTATCAAAAAATGAAAAGTATCTTTTTCACGTCCACACTCTTCTTTTGTTGTGGCAAAAATACCAGAAGTTTTCCAATGCACCTCATGTACGTACTCCGAATACCTCCTGTTACAAACTGTCATCAATTATTATTTGAAGAGCCACCAAAAGTGACAACTTCAAAATGAAACCATTCAATTTATAACAAGAGCTGAGACTCTGTAGTCAGAACTCATCTGAGCAAGGTTTAACCTGCAGGGTGTGTGTGGGCGTGAAGAGAGAAGGTTTAATGATTACTCAGAACTGTAATAAATCTAACAAAAGCAATGCTTGAGAGTCTGCTTGGCTGAGTGACTAATAACTAATCCGGTGCGACATCTGTCACTTAAAGAAACAGTAGTTAAATAAGAAGCACGGCAGGAATAGAAAGACTGACAAACAAGTGCAACAAGTACGAAAGTAAATAAATAAATGACTAAAACGACTGACACACGGCAAACACCAGCTTTCTAAATAAATGTATGCATTTTAATATATTTATAATGTATATTATTAATAATGCATTTTATATACAGTACAATACAAAATTTATATATATAATATTTTATATATTAATATATATAATAAATAATAATATATTCAGTTCCCATTGAATTAAAACATTTAACCAATAAATGGTTAAAGGTCACCAGTTTCATGCAAACTGAAACAAACAGGAGATGAGTATGAATTTGTAAAAATCTAAGATATGAAGTCATGGTGTGTGACTGAATAAAACTGATTTATTCATTAAAAGAAACTGCTTTAACAATGCCTTCTAACTTAAAAACAGTTAATGTTTAATTAAAGAAAACTACAAGTGAACAAAAAAAACAAGTGAACAAGATTGTGTTATAGATAGGTTATGATAGATCTTCGTGGATCAAACACTCATTTTATATGATAAATTAATTATAATAAAATTATAGAATACAAATCTGAAGAAAAATACGCACACACAAAATGTTTTAAATCAGAAAAATAAGTTGTTGTTTTTTAAAACAGAACAAGTCATTGGTAACCAGAATATGAGCAGTCCTGATTTGAATCACTTCCTGTGCCACTGTCCTTTTGTTGTCCAAAAACCAAAACATGTCAGAATTACTGCTTATGACCAAAAGATCCACCAATATAACATTTTCACTAATTATCCAGATCATTTTCTGCACCTTTAAACTTTCTGATTCTGCTCAAATCCTACCTCATCTTTGATGTCTTCTTGCTGTTGTGCTGTGAAAATCTCCATTGCTCCCATTAACCTCATCATCAGCTCATCCACTGTCGTATTACCTGAGGAAAAGGTCATGAAACGGATGAGAATCTACAGTACCTTATTTTGAAATTAATCACTCCCCCCAAAAAATTATATAACAATTATAGAATCATAATAACCTTGAATGACATTTAGAACTTCATTGGATGTGCGTTTGCCCATAACTATAAGGAGCAGGGGGAACTGGTCTGTTTTGTATGTCCGTATTGTCTGCGTTACCACACTGCCAAAGTGCCTCGTGCACATGGTGAGAAGTCTGAAAGACAAGGAAAAATGTCTAATTCACTTTTTCATGCATTTCCCCCCAATATTATGAGTCTCTTTTAGGATTTTTTCCCCTGGGGTATGATCTGAAATAAGACAAAACCCTAGTATAAACACATGCATACACAAGTATGTATATTTTCACAATAAATGGAAATGGCACACTTTTTTTAGACAGCGGCAGAAAAGAAAATACACACAACTCACTGCATAAAGGACTTTAAAACCCATTCTGCACTTTCCTATTCCATCAGAGCGACATGCTATCTCAATCGGAAGCGCAGATGAATTAGTATTCCTCACCAGACGCCCAGAATTGATAGGGCAAGAGAGGATTTCTTATTCCATTACAAAGACAGAACTTCTTAAATTAACATTTCAGAGAGGGAAAAGGGTAGCTGGCAGCCGGGGCCCCGCCAAGCTCCCTGTAAATGTCATAATATTAATGAATTGCTATAGACTGAATGCAAATATAGATTAGCTTTTTCTCCTGCCTTTTAATAAGATCTACTTTAATAACTGAGTGGTAAAATAGAAAAGTAATGGAAGGGAAGGAGGTGCAGCAGGTCGGAAAAAGAAGATGGATGAAAGGAAATCCGAAGGAGAGAGGGTGTAACTCATTAAAAGATGAGGACAAAGCTACTCGCAGAACTTTCAGACTGAGAAATGAGTACCAAGGCTGACTGTGGTGTTTTTAATCGCACAAGAGAAACTAAAAATGTGGATGAAAAAGTACAAATAAAAAGTGAAAATGCTGTGACTGTGATTGAGACAGAACATTTCCACATAAACTCTGAGTGACCCTTGACTTGCAACGGAAAAGTTGGGTCACCTTAATTTTACAGATCATTTTGATCTGACATTTGTCCCTGTTCAGCTCTCGACCCAGCCGTACCATAACAATAGCCCACAGGGAAACTCTAACCTGTAATGAAAGGCCAGAGAACAATGGACATCAACTTGAAGGGTAATCTAATCTTAAATCTCTCAACCACCTCAAGCCAACCTGCTTTGGTTTCTCACTCAGAATTATAAGAAAGTCAGTCTTCTACATTAAAAATCATCGAACAGCAACATAAAAACTTTATTCGATTCAATTCAGTTAATTTATATAGTGCCAAGTCACAACAGAAATCATCTCAGGACACTGAACAGAAACATACATATATAAAAAAGTAAGTTAACATTATTTATCTGAGGAGCAGACTGCTTTGAGTTTAACTTCATCACAGACTCTCATCTTGAGCAAGCATGAAGGCAACAGTGGAAAGGAAAAACTCAGGACAAGCGGCCATCTGCTTCGACCAGCTGGGTTTGAGAGGAACAGGAAGGAGGAACAGATACAAGTTGATGCCCATTGTTGGCAGGTCGAGGAAAACTATCCAATTTTAACATTTCATTTAAGAAAATGAGGTCAATTTGTCTTCTAGTAGTCTAAGCCTTTAGCAGCATAACAGACAAACTAACTATAAGATTTATCAAAAAGGAACGTCTTAAGTCCAGTCTTAAAACTGGACAATGTGTCAGCCTCACGAACAGAAACTGGAAGTTGGTTCCACAAGAGAGGAGCCTGATAACTGAAAGATCTTCCTCTCATTCTGCTTTTGAAGACTCTAGGGACCACGAGTAAGCCTGCAGTCTGAGAGCGAAGTGCTCTGTTAAGAATATATGGATCAATAAGATTTCGAATATAAGCTGGAGCTAGGTTTTTGAGAGCTTTGTAAGTTAGAAGTAAGATTTTACAATCTGGAAATTCAATACAATCTTTACGATCTTTATGCAGACTAGATTGTGTATTCACTGTGATTCCGACTAAGAACCACGCTGCACCCAGGGCATTCAGCACATACAAATTCTTCTAGGGAACAAGTATGGACACAACACAGAGGGCAGGAGGAAGTCAAGCCACTTCAGGAACTAAGGTGAGCAGTTCAGAAGTTTCATCCAGGCATAATATAACATGGTAAAAAAAATGTAATGGAGTCCATACCAGACCTTCAGCCTCTGAGCAAACTGTAGGAGAAACTAAATGTTGAAGACACACCTGACAGGACTTGTTATTAACGTGTTTTCAGGCTCTGCGTCGGTGGCTAACGTGACTGATGGCTTCTAATTTGTTGCCCATCCTATCTCAATTTCTAAGTGCAGATCTATACAGCTAAAACAGTTAATGTTTCTCTGGGCTGTCATCTTGCATTTCTTCATGTTCAAGTGACGCATTAAGATGCGTGATGACTGGCAGGACCTGACATATGCTCTGATGAGCAGCTGATGGATCAGGATAATACAGTAGCACTGCGGGGAATGTGTGCCAGCCACCTGTACGAGGGCTGTATGGGAACCGGATGCCCTGTTAGCTCACTGTGTCTCACACACTTTGTTTCAGAATGAACACGGACATGTTTTGATTTGAAAGTGACATTTTGTTCTAGCTCCAAACCATTTACCTTTTTACGTTGGAGGATGTCAAAAAGAGAAGTCAAGTGTACAGAACAGGTGTGCATATCAGCCTCCTCCTGCCTTTAGCAGTTAGACGCTGATGTTCACTTTAGGACCACAAAATAATTAGTCAGCACAAGAAGAACTTTTTTTTAAAATGAAAAACAAATAATCTGCTTTAAATTAATCTACTAACTGTTAGTTCCAATAAACGTCTGATAAAATGACATTATACTGAATGTTTAATCAACCAGATTCATTTCCCACAATTGTCACAATTACACTGGCGTCCAAACACCAACACTGCTTTTATGCATAATTAATCATTTAACAAGGCCTGAGAGAATAGCACATTCCAGTATCAGCAGGTTTATATCTCTCACATTCTCACACACACAATTAGAATACCTTTCTAACAGCCTGTGTGACTGATGCCAATCACCAGTCACTTTGGATCAGCCAGAGAGCGTGAGAATGGAGAGCAGCAGTGTATTTGTGAGCGAGTTAGAGTGCACATGTGCATGCATGCGTTAGCAGCAAAGCTGCGGCTAGCTGTGTGCGATGAAAAGCTCCAGATGTTGCCTCTCTTTTAATGTGCAATAAAAAGGCTCAGCTGGGGCAAAAAGCAAAGGAGGCCAATAGGAAAGAAAGGAGAGGGGAATGAAGGAAGGAGGGAACTTCCTTAAAAGAAATAATGGAGGGTTGAGGTCAGGGAGCGAGTCTTTCTTAAACGACTACAACCAGAGGGCAGGCTTATCTCTGGAAGTTTAGAGAATGAAAGTTAAGGTAGCGAATGATCCAGCAAAAACAGATCAGGATGAAGAATAAGATAAAGCATAAATATTGAGATAAGCAGCAAAATAACTCTGGGTTCAGTGGTAATGACTTAGCCCTTATATCCATGACAAAGAAGAAGAAGACAAAATAAGACAGAAGACAAATTATGACAAATAAAGAACTTTGAATCCTTGAACATCCACCACTTCTTTGGGCTCTAATTTTACATTTATTGGAAAAGCATCTTATTTTAAAATGTTTTCCAGAAAGAAATAATAATTGTAACTGCTGTACCTGAAAACCAAACATGCTGCAAAGACCAGCAAATTACCAGAACCGGGCACGGACGCTACACTCTATCAGGATAAATGGAGTGATAAAGATGTTTGGACTCCAAGGGAGTCCTTCGTCTCCCACTGACCCGCTTTTCAGACAGCTTAGTCAAAAATGCCCAATCAAGGGGCCTCACCATGCAAACACAACGCCTTTTGTTAGTACGCAACCTCCAAGCTTCAAAAAGAGAAAGAAGCTGAAGAACGTATGAGAAGACGGAGATGCAGGGTTGTGAGCTGTGAAGAGCTGAATACCAGCAATTAAAAACACGTTAAATGAATTATAACCTGCTGGTCATATTAAAAAAGGTCAAATTTAACTAATATTTGCCAAGTCCTTCTTGTATGCAATATAAATATAGAATTTTTAACTTTAAGATTCTGATGTTCAAAATATTTTAACTTGTATAAACAAAAAATAAAATATTCTAAACAACAAATGTCAAAATACACTGTTGAAAACTACATTCATATTTCTAAAGGAACTATTAAAAATCTGATACTTGGACAAGATGGTAGTAATCTTCAGATGATGACAGAATCATCAGGATGTTTAAAAAGATCATGAATTTATTCAAAGTGGACGCATTTATTGTCCCATTTATACTTTAGTGGTATTACAAAATATAAATACAAATAAGGATGAAGCACGTGGTTCAGTTTAAAAGGTCCGTTTGCAGTTTTTGTATAGAGCAAAATGCTGTTATAATAATACGCAATACTTAATAGTCTTGTGGTGCCAGATGTAATATTTCTTTTCTAATAAATGTTAGATCTTAACATTTAATTTCCTTCAACTTTGAATGTGAATGAACAATAATTTTTTAGTAAACAATAAAACTTGTTTCATTTTCTGTTTGAAATTGAAAAATGCAGAACATTTTTTTTTTACTGCTTAAAATGATTTTTATAGAAATTAGACGTTATTTAAGTTACATTATAAATACAGTGCAGTAATGCTGACCTGCAGAAATAAGCGTGGCAGAGGCTTTGCCACGATCATTACCGTCTGAAGTATGAAAACACAGTGAATAAGAGCTTTAAACATGCTGTACCTGGCTTTGTTAGCTTCTTGAGTGACGTCCCAGGCCCACGTGATGAAGTTCTGGCTCAGGTAGGAGACGATCGAATCAGCGCACATCATTTGAGAACAGAAGACGTTGCTGAGGACACTTTCATCATTGTGGAGGTAGATGGCCAACAGCTTTCTCTGTAGAAACAAACAACAAATGGCATCGAGTCCCTCAAAACGTTTGTCTTTGCAACAGGAAATATGTTTTGGTGCTGATGATTCTTTTTTGCTGATTAAAAGAAGCTCAACTGTAGTCGGTGTGGGCTGCTAAAATAACTTGTACAACCTACAAGGACAAAACTAGTAAAAACAAATAAATAAAATTACCAATATCACAGAAAATCAAATGGAGAACGGTGCAAATAAAACTTCGCTTGGATGTGACGAAGATATAGAGAAAACAAAACAGACAAATCACTCTATTTATTTTATACCAAATGCCAGCAGCCTGCTCAGGTTAGTAGCAGCAAGGCCAGACAATATTGACGAAGCTCCAAATCCGAGGATATCGACGCCATCATATAAGCCTGCTAGATTTTCCCTTCTGACGATCTAATTAAAAAACAAACACACCCACAAACACAAAAGGTTCAAGGGCACAAAGTTGGAAATAATGCTCTTTAAATTACATGTCACTTTGCTTGCTATAAAGGAACAAACAAGGGGGGAAAAAAAACTCAATTTCTGCTTGGTTCATTTACCCACGGCTACGATGGGAGTTAAGGAGCCTGTTTCTCAGGAACGGTAATCTCGGCTACGTGCGCCTAAAAGCAAAATCTACACGGGGCGTAAAATGTGAGAAGTGAAAGAAGAAAGTTGTGCTATATTGTGGCCCTGTGCAGAATAGGAACGGGAGAGCACTGCTGTGTTTGCTCAACGATTAGTGCTTTAGAATAATCTCCAGGGCTCCTAGAGGGAAGGAGCTGGGGACTCATTCACCGGGCCGCTTCAACAGCCTGAAAAGATTAAACACTCATGCTGAGAAGACAAGCAAAATCAGTCTGGAGGGTGGAATGAGTCTGAGGATAGTGAGTTTTAAAACAGTGGGAAGAAAAAAAAAATTGACACACATTCGAACACTGGTTCCCCAACACACATACACAAACTTAAGTCTGAACCCACAAGTGAAGGATTTATACTTGCACACATGCATGCTCAATTAGAGCAAGTGTAAAGACTAATCAAAGTAGGCATTTTTGGCCAACTGAACTCCTTCATCTTAGTTAAACTGTCAGTACCCCTCTGTTCCCTCTCCACTTTCAACTCAGATCTTTTGTGCTGCCTGTCTTGGCAGGGAGGAGCAAATCCCTTAGTTCGGCTAAATTACAAGGTCCAACCTGAGCGAGATAGTGACCCCAGAGCCCTTCCTCACACCTGTTCACCTTAATCAGAGCTCGCTTTGTGTGAGGAAGTGACTAAAGGTTTCACACAGTACAAAAGCAGGTTGCACTTGAGTCTACAAGGAGAATTAAAGCTCATTCAATAAAAAGTTGAATATGTGTGAAATTTAAAAACAGAAAACGAAATCTCAACCTAATATATACCAAGTTTGCTTTTCTGTCGTTGAAAGAAAATATATTTGCTCTAAAGTTAATAAACGTCTTGTCTTTATCAAAATATTCAGTAAGCGCAAAGTCTTTTGAATGAATAAACAAATCCTAACTACATCACGGACCAAGTGGTGTTACCTCGAATATCAGGACCAAAGTGAGCCGAGAAGAAGTGAAGAGAAATAATGATAAAGTATTCAGTTTTAGTTTGTCATAACTCTAAAAGTAAAATGTGGGGGTCCTAAACGCCGATATCTAAACCCACTGATGTTCTTTAAATTGACTTAATAATCTACAACCTACTAAAAATCTTTATGCTCATCTGATATTAACTAAGTAACTATTCTTTAAATAGCATTAAAATTCAACAAAAATATTTTAATTATGCCCAGTGTATGTCATTTTTCACATATTCATTTTACACAACTGATTAAATTTACTTTATTGCTTGAATTTACAGTGGTGGGAGTGGTGGCGCAGAGTTAGAGAAGGTGGGTCTGTGATCGGAAGGGTGCCGGTTCGACTCCCCGGACAGACAACGTCAAAATGCGTCTGGAAAAGGTGAAACACCCACACCTGCATCCACCCTCATTTGTCCCACTCGGGGCCCTTGAGCAAGGCCCTTAACCTCCACCATCTGCTCCAAACAGGTCTCTCTTGAAAATGAGTCCTTGTGACTCAGTGAGACTGCCTGTATATTAAATTAAAAAAAAAAAAATACTTATGTCTAAGACACTTTTTAACACTGAATGCAAAGAGGTCTTGATGCAGGTCAATTAAACACTATAGTATTTTTAATAAATCAAAAACAAACAAATATCTAATATAAAAGATAACAGCAACTGCTAGTATTTAGTACTGTATGCTGTACCCAGGCTGCCTTCAGGCCCGGGCCTTCATGCAAAAGATATGTGATCTCCTCAAAGGAATCTGTCTGGTTAAATAAAGGTTAATACATTAATAAATAATCAAGCTGTGGTATTTTCTCACATCATTCAAGTATTAAGAAGAGAGGCATAACTACAGCCTGCACAGAACTACAATAGTCTAAAACATTGGAATAACAACATTATTATCAACAGTGACATGGAAATAAACTACCTAATAATATATGACCTAAAAATCTTTATGCTCATATGTCAGATGATAACTAACTATATTTTAAATAGAATTAAAATTCAACAACAATCTTATAAAATGCCAAATGTCTATCATATTTTTCACATATTCATATTACGCATCTGATTAAATGTAAATTATGATTTTTTTTTTTGTTATTATTCCTTGACTTGACACAGGGTGATCTGATTTAGTATTTCATTGTTTCTAATTATGTTTTATATTTTTATTCCATGTGCTGTAAATATATTTTGTTACTTTTTATTTGATGCTGCAATCCTTGTGTTAAGCACTTTGGTAACAGTTTCGGTTTTAAATGTGCTATATAAATACATCTGACTTGACATGACTAAATATGCAATACACTCAGAAATACATAATTAATATGATAAAACATTTCACAACAAATAGAAACATATCCTACTAAAATGATTTATTTGCTAAAATCACTGTGAATGAAATTAGTTTCCTTTGCTGCAGATTTGCACTTTCCCTGGTGTAAAAAAACTAACTTGTCATTTGGTATAGAGCCCATATAGTGCCCTTTTAAAAATAGAATGATATAGACAGTGTGCACTGTGGGATTCTTGCAATAAACCCTATAATGCAGCCAAACTAATCCCTTCCCACCCACCTATATAGCACACGTCATTTAACAAAGTCACACTCTCAGCTGTTAAAGCACTGGAAAGAAAGCAGACTTTAATAAAGCCAAAACACCAGATGACAATATTCTACTGTCAGAATACATGCTGTTGTTTAACTGATATCCAAGTTCTGATAAATAGTTTAAAGGTGATGGATCTTATTTTTCTTTTACCACCATTTAATTTGCCACCATAGAGCAGCCAATTCAAGAGGTAAAACATCCCTACTGTACAAATGGCTAATAATTTGGTTAATAAACAATTTTAAAAAAAATATTTACTCAAAATTACTGTTTATTGTATTTTCAAAATGTCTTCTTGTTAGTAAAACAGAAATATACAAACTTAAAGGACTGGCAGAATAAAAAAACTAAATACTTAAACGTTGGGATATTAAATTTCTTTGTTTCATTGTTGCATAAACTCCTTAGTGATAAGTTAAATGAAGTTTTGTCAGATCAAGTCATCAAATGTGTTTTTAATTCATAGTCGAGTTTGAGCACAAAGATTATCTGAACATGTCTCCATTAATCGTGTTCGACTCAAAAATAACAAGATCATTAAATACTGCCACTGATTCATTTGCACTGGTTTATTTAACTCTACTATGACATAATGACATCATATCTGGCAGGTGAAGTTGTGTGCTGTGGCCCACAAGTTTATCTGGTTTTTATCTAGACTTTCTTTTGTCCGTAAAGAATTTGAACATATAAACATTTATGTTATACTTACATTTTATTTCTTCTTTGTGATGTTCATCTATTTTCAAAACTGAAAGTTTATGGGCCAGTCAATTCTAAGCTGTGTGTAACGTTGTTTTGTTTACATGCTTATGTTGAAAGAATGCACATTTACAGCTGAACTCCGACGTTTTGGAACATTGTTCACCCAGAACAACATACAGTTCTTGAAATATTGACACTGACAAATGAGATTTTGCATTTCATTGACCAGTGAAGTGGCTAAAATCTAATGGATTAGACTGGATCTCATGGAATATGCAATTCTCCGTTCATGTACTGATTGCAGGAGTATAAAGACGTCGCAAATGACTAAAGGAATATTTCACCTGCCTTCACTGTATTAATCTAACTCCAAACCTCTGCATTTCTCCTCAGTGTTGTTTCTCTGATTGATTTGCGTATACATGAAACCTCATTCTGACTGGCTGCTGCTCTCTCCTCTTGACTTCACAAGGCCGTTACTGAGATTTGAAGTGGATACTTGGCTGTGATGGATCCCTAAACTCCCCTCTCCAGCAAGGCTATGAATTTTTATGTCTTTGTGTGTGGCAGACAGGAGAGAAGAGCGAGGAGCGAGGAGCGAAGGAGAGAGCAGGGTTAGAGTGATTAACCACTGCATTGATGGGGATTTAGTGCGGATCGTGGTTAGTGATGGGTGGCCTATCGCTCTGTCCGCTCTGACTAACCACTGATCCCCAAGAGAGTTCAGCTCAGCTCAGCAGCCCAAAGCATTTTCATTAAGGATGGATTGAGTCTATCTCAACAGTGCCCCAACACACACCTTCAGAAACACTTCATCAAATGTAGTGTTTTGCTTAGTGATTAGCCTCTCCCAGGCTATGAGCGAGTGAGACTGATTCCTCTGTTTATAAACCCACGGAGTTGTCTCTTCAGCCAGAACTGCCCTTTTCTCATATGCCCTTAATGAAGCAGGCTTTTGCTACGACGAGATCACTAAAACTGGTTCCCATTTCAAACGAAAGCAATGAGGGAAGGGTAGATAGACAGAAGAAAGCATGGCGTAACTTGAAGACATATGCTACAGTGTGATAAACTATCAAAAGCTGCATGTTTTGGCCTGCAGTCCAAGCAGTTTGCGATAAAACAACAAATCAGAACAACTTCTGGTTTTGTGACACGTTACTACCTAAAGCCATTTAGCTACAACACAGTTGGCAGGCTAAATCAAGTTCACCCAGAATAGAGCAATACTTGTTTGCCCCTGTGTTGTGTATGGTACAGAGCAAGTGAACACCACAGAGACATCAGCCATATTGTGCTGGCTTAGAGGAAGGGATCAGCTTGGAAGCAGGCATAACGCCAAGCTTCTCTTTAGTTTTCTGCCTATTTTACTCTTTCCGTCTATCACCTTCATCCTTCGAGCTCACTAATGACGATAGTCCTCTCGGTATTCAAAGTAAATTTTAAATTTCACTTTTGCCCCATTCTCTCTTTTCAGACCAGGTTTTTTTTTTTAAATGCACCCTGGCTGTCGTCTCCATCACCCTCCTCCTTTGTGCGCTTGGTGATCTGAACCACCCCAACCTCATAAACATGTTGCTGTGTCCTCACAGTCTAATAAAGCTGTAATCCACACAAGCTGTCAGTTGATACAAGCATCCTTGAAAAGAAAAGAAAAAAAAAAGAAGAAGCTAAAAATAAATTAAAAAAAACAAGAGGGACTCTGAGCTATGAATAAAGTTTCTGCTGTGAGAGTGAACATTTGATTTAGGTTTTCATAAAATGATCAATGTGGCTATAACACGGTAACTGCAAAAAATAACACTATAAGAAAGAGCAATAATATTAATTCTTTACAAATAAATGTTGTGTTTGGAAATGCTAATTCAATTCAATTCAAAAATACTTTATTAATCCCAGAGGGAAATTATTTGTTGTTGTAACTCATTGTCCTCATTTCATTAAGAGATGTTATAGACACTGATGGCTGTAGACAGGAAGGATCTCTTGTAAAGGTCCATCCCACAGTGGATCCTAAGAAACTGGCTGCAGATGCCGTCCGATCTGTCCACCCAGACTTGGCTGGCCTCTCGGTTCCCCTCGGGCTGCAGGACCGCCCAAATGCTGGGCAGAACTCCTCCCAGAGCGATGGCCACTCCTCCCAGCAGTCTGCCGAGCTCCTCGTCACTGCGGACAGCCAACTGTAGGTGCCGAGGGATGATCCTGTCCCTCCGCTGTCACGAGCCGTGTTTCCTGCTAGTTCCAGGATCTCAGTGGTCAGGCACTCGAGCACAACTGGCAGGTAGATGAGAATGTGTCCACAGAACATCCTTTTCAACTCACTTGAGATTTGGGGCTGTAGTTGAGATATTATTTGAGCTTTTGAGATGTTAATCAGCTGCTGTTGGTTGTAGAAAACAGCCTTGTTGCCATAGTTACATATCATAACAAATGTCCAAAACTAAGAAAGTTTCAGTCAAAATCCTTCCAGCTGCACAGCATCTGATACCAGAGGAAACAATCATCCAAAAAAATGTGATTTATATCCAGAAAAAGAGGAAATAGTTTCCAAAAGCAAAATCTCAAAATGAATGTAACAGAGCTGCTCCAACATGCAGCCACCTTGAGCGGCGCAATTCTAGAACAATAATTAATTAATTATTAATTAATTATTAATTAATTAATTTGTCTTGTGTTTGGATTGTATGTTCTTAACTTTCTTCACATTTGATATATATTTATTCATCACGATACATGACATTTCCTGTTACAGATTCCACTTTCTGGTATTGAGTCCACAACTTAATTCCACCCCACAAAAAGTAAAAATGCGGTGTAGATTATATCTAGATAACTAGAGAAATTGCATTTCCTGCAAAAATGCAGTGTGAATGCTTTTTGCTTAAAAACTTGCAAAAAAACCAGCTGAAATTAGCTAAAAACATGCCGAAATGTAGCTGAAATGGAAGAACAAGCCTAAGTTAGCAGAAAAAAGCAGAAAGAACACATATTTGCTGAATATGGTGGAGGCAGAAACGAGCACAAAAATGAGTAAATTAGCTATATACAGTAAGCTTAAACGAGCAAATAATAGCTGAAAAGTAGCTGAAATGGCAGAAAAGCTTAAATTACCCGAAGGAAGTGGAGAGAGCACAACTGTGCCCAATTAGACTGAAAGAAGCCAAAATGAGCACAAAAAGTGGAAATTATCTGAAAAAAGCTGAAATTTGCGCACACGCACACAAAAAAATCCAAAAAAACAGCTGAATAGTAGCTAACAAAGGCAGAAAGAAGCTTAAAATACCAGAAAAAAGTGAAGAGAGCACAATTGTGCCCAATTAGGCTGAAACAAGCAGAAATAAGAACAAAAAAGTGGAAATTATCTTAAAAAAAGGCAGAAATTAGCAAAAACAAACAGCTGAATAGTGCCGGTAGCTACAAAGGCAGAAAGAAGTTTATTGCTTAATAAGCACAATTAAATATTTATTTGAAAATAAAAATCTAAATTACATTTGTTGAAACTGATTACTGTCCATTTTTAATAGATGCCTATTTTGTGTTTTGTACAGGCATCAAAACATTTAGATATGTGCAGAAACTTTCAAAAAGTATGCAAGTCAGATTGAAGACAATGTGCATGTGTAATCATCATGACTGTAAATATATGGAACAGCTATTTTATTCATGAAAAATACAAATTCATAAATATATAAGTAAAATTTTTATAATTTACTTTTTCCATAGTTTTGACATATTTCATATTTCATTTAGAAAACGATTTTTTTTTTGGGTGTTTCCTATTTTTTTAAATAGCTAATATAAGAATTTTAACTTTTTAAAAACTTAAACATCTGTCCTCTGCTTCAGAAAATGACTGGTAAACAACATTTCTCTGTTCTTTTGAATCAGTAAACTAGTTTAACAATTTCTGTGAAAATTTTAATCTGATCCACAAACTCGAAGTAGCAACCATCTCTAATAATAAGGCTTTTTCTGTCATACAAATTTGCCTGCCACAAAAAAAAAAAAGAAAGAAAATCCTACAAAATTGGAGATTGAAAGGTGAATAAATAAAGCCATAACTGTGCAATGACACTGAAGATAATGTTAATGTTACAGAACACCAATAATAGTAAGAGTTTTGAAAGAAAATTGTATGCAAGCAGAAAGGTCAAAAATCATCAATTGAATTTTGTGCTTGTGCTCGATATCCGGGACCTGTGGTGTTTTAGCAATAAAACAAGATACTGTAGAGGAAATCATTACAAAGGCACAATAACATTAGCATCCTCACAGTTTGTTACACCAACTTTACTGCACACTCAAAAAATAATGCCTTCTCTGAAGCGGAGTGTTGGGAGAAAAATATTCTCTCTTAACGTACTTAAATAAAAGAACCACACTCGATGGCACATGACAGAAGATTTTTAACCGGAATTTACTTACAAGGTCAGATTTTCAGGACAGGTTGCACAGATATACAGGAAGTACACAAGAAGACCAGTCATGAGAATCTGCCACGAGCTGTGTGTGAAGCTTGTTTTTATGTGCTTATCAGTTCAGCCGAGCTCACACACTCTGAAGCGTACTAGAAGCAACAGCTGCACACTGCAGCCTCACCCAGCTCCTCATCCAGCTCTCTCTGCCAACCCAAACATATGGTTCATGGGCAGAGTTAACGTTCTCAGCAATAGTAGTTAAAAATATCCAAAAATTTTGAACAAAAAAATCCTTAACATAGCTCATTTATGATGGACTGAGACATTACAGATAAAAATGATAAGGAACATTATGTACGCTGGTCATAAATATGGAGAACAACTCTTGCTTGCCATCAGCACACAATTCAAATGTCAGCATATGAAATGTTGTATGATACATTAGTACACCTTAAGACTAGACTATAACAAAATCATAAAATTATTTGGTTCTGTCCAACCACAACGCAAACAGATTTATAAAACATGGCTCCATGTTCTTAGTTAATTTGACCCTTTCTGCTGAAATCCTATAAGCCTACAACTGTGACAAGGTAGTACATTCTTTATTATATTACACCCCAAGTTTTTTGTGGTTTTTGACTGAACAAACATACTATAACAAACACAGTTATCTTCATCTCTACAGATCCCTTAAAAACACAAAGTTGGCAGTGTGCAGATTATTGGTTATAATAGTTAGTGTTTTAAATTCCCAGCAGCTCAATATCAAATAAAAATACGTGAGTAATGCAGCACCTCCCTTGACAGATCTAAAATGAATAATATCCTGTTCGGTTTATATTTCTTCTCCGTGTTATCTTAAGCTAAAAAAATGGCTCAATAAACCCGGGGACTAGACTACATGAAGCAGGAATGACAATACTACTAATGAGCAGGTCAAAGTAAGTATCTCTAGTTTCTCACAGTCAAAATTAAGAGCAAACACAAAACGAAATATGACCTTAAAGCTTTTACTGTATCTCAGCAAATTAGAAATGGTCCTAAGAGACTAAACAGTCCAGCATTTTACTTACATCTCTGGCTTTGCCATAAAAGGCCTCTTGAGATGCTGCCTCCAAAGATCCAATGAAAAACATCGGGTGGGTCTCTCCATATCTAAAATTAAAAACACAAATGCAAACATTTTATTACTCAGGCAAACTTCAACCCAAAGTTACATTCTAGCCAAGTTTACCTTGAAGAAAATTCGGCAGTAAAGTGAAGTAAGGCATCCGCTTCATTCTCACTATTCTCTGGCACTGCGAGAGGAACAAAATTAACACAGTGGTCAAACCTTGCATGCATGTTTGTGACATCTAACATGGTTTGAATTAAACTTTCTAAACACGTTGGCTATACATACTCATGGGTGATTTTCGACAGCTTGAAGAGCTCATTCCAAACATCTCTGAATCATCCACCCCAAATTCTGTAGCATCCTCGTATTCCTCCCCCTCACTGTCACTGATCATATGGACATCTGCACACTGTAAACATACAGAACTTGAATGTTGGTATACAGAGACTGCCCACAGGAAGAGCGACTCACAGCTCTGAGAATTAGGTGGTATTTATACACCTATATGTACCTCTTCTGTAGGTTCCTGGGCATTGGCTGGTGAGGATCTTCGACAAACACTGAGATGATGGCATGGATAGCTGATCCCAGAGAGGGCTAGCGTCATCTAAAAATGGGAATCAAGAAAAAAATAGTCACTAAGTTGTTGTTTTTTTTAACTTAGAAAAGCTGACCGTTTACATTAAATTAGATCTGATCAGTGGCTCAATCTGAATCAGGAAAATAGGAATTTTCCGTCAAATTTCTGAGAACTAATTCAAGCTTATATTTACAACTTCATACCCTCTACAAATACATTTTCAGTGTTGACCAATTGAAGCATAACATGAAATATAATGCATTTTATGAATTTCAAGCAAAGGTTTGCTCATCTCCCTAATGAGAGGGGAATACAATGCCATCACCAATGAGGTGGTTTATACCTGCAGTGAAGAAGCACCTGAGACTAATGAGCTCCCAAATTCAAAGCAAGCATTGAAAATGTCGGCGTTCAGCAGGGACCCATTACAGCCAGAGACTCCTGGCTCAGCCACCAGGGATAACAACAATACAAAGAAAGCTGTTTCAGGATGTAGAAAGACACTCTTGTAACTCGAAACAATAAAATAATATAGTTAAATGTCAGGTTTTGCTGAGAATAAAGATGTATCCGTTTGTTTCTGTATTCACGTCTTCCTACTTCAAAATAATGCAACAATATATTCACTAACTAATTGTTGAGATCCCATCAAAAAGCCCAGATGCAAAGAGTTTTCTGGGAGAGTGCACTTCTAAACGACGGAGGAGAAGCTGGGTGTGATAAGAGACAGAGAAGCTGCTTGTCCCCTGCAGAGGTCCTGTGATCTGCTCTATTGTCAGGTTCCGAGACACACAAAGAGCAGCTGAACATGCTTGAATCAAGACACGATTACATGCAACGCCAATTGAATCTGAAAAGAGCTACACAGACTGAACAGGGTTTCTCTACAAAACAGAGTGATTCCACATGACGGCTTCACCTTCTACAAGAGGAGTGAACCGTGCAGGCAGCAGACCTTGAATTCAACATGATATCAGATGTTCTGCTGTTTGTTTCATGTCAATAAAAACAAAACAACACCTTCTCTTTTTTTAATATATTGATTAAACAGTATTTGCCTATTAAAAGCAGTTACAAATAAATAAAAAAAGGAATTTACTGCATAGAAACATCAAATATTTAAGAATTTTTTATCATTATATAATTTAGTTTATATAGCGTAATGTTGAAAACACAGCTGAACTGAGACCATATCCTTTGTTTTTAGCAATGGTCCTTCATATTTTTATATTCACAACTCCTTGAGTTGGCAGCATGGTGGCTCAGTTGGTAGAGTTGCTGCCTCTCAGCAAGAAGATCGCCGGATCAAATCCTGGCCAGGGGCCTTTCTGGGTGAAGTTTGCATGTTCTCGCTGTGCATGCATGAGTTTTCTCCAAGTACTCCGGTTTCCTCCCACAGACCAAAAACATGCATGTTAGACTGATTGGCAACTAAATCATCTCTAGGTGTGAGTGAGAAAGTGAGTCATTGTTTGTCTCCTTTGTCTCTATGTGTCCCTGTGATGGACTGGAGACCTGTCCAGGGTGTCCCCCCACCCCCACCCCCCACCCCCCCGTCTCTCGCACAGTGAGTGCTGTATATACCATACCATACCAATTTATTTATATAGCACTTAAAACAGCAACAAGGCCAACCAAAGTGCTGAGTATATAATGGGCACCAGTAACCCCCATGACCCAAAAAGGAAGGAGCGGGTAAAGATGATTGCAGGAGCTCCTTGAATTGTTTACATATTGAATTTTCTGCTGAAGAAAGAAAATTTATTTTGTCACAACAATCCTTTAAATGGTGAGCAATCACTTATTGAAGCCTTTAGATAGCTAAATGTGAACATACTGACACTGGTTCAAATATTGACTGTCGTGTTTTAAATCCCCATTCCCCTTAAACAAAAAGGGAAGAATACTTTCTCATAAAGTCAGTATCTCTCACGGCAATTTGAGAAAGAATAATCCTCATCTGTGTTGTCTTAACACACTAGCGATACCACTTGCAATACTGAATCTACACAAAACCAAGAATGACATCATCGCTGAAGAGACAGCAGTTTTCTTTGAAAAACTACTTCACAAATTGCTCAATGTAAAAACTAAATGTGCTGAGCCACCCTAAATACAGTCAGACGCGAATAGAAAAGGAAAAATACTTAGTAGCAAAGATATTTAAAGATAAATGCAAATGTCAAAAGAAGAACAGCTACATGTCCTCTGTCCTCACTGCACTGGCTACAGGTTCATCTTCGAATCCAGTTCAAAATACTCCTGTATGTCTACAAATCGCTGAACAGTCCCCCCCACCCCCCCCCAATCTGTCACTGTTTTTTAAGTGCTCTATAAATAAAACAGTATGGCATGTCCCAAGAACATCTAAAACCAAAACTTAAATGAATCGTCTCACCTTTGATCATGTAACCCTACTCTAATAATTTAGCGCCAATTACTTATTTAATGCATAATTTTAGAAAAACAGATTAAATGGTTGAAAAACATGGCTGACTTAACAGTGAAAGAAAATGGCTAAGAAAGTAGCTCTGACTTCCAAAAGGGATGACAATGCTTGCTTGTATCCGTGGACCTGAGGACCGACTCTTCATATGCTGCATCAGATTTTAACGAGGAAAATGAAAAGCCATGTCCAATGAGGACATGGTATGTGCCAGGTCTTGGAGTTAAATTAGCACAGATGGCTGTAAGTACAGAGCCAAAGAAAAACCATACAAGGTCTAAGCCTTAAGGGTGTGAATGAATAACCCCAAGTCTTTTCCTTCTAATCGAGTGGCAATCAAACATGAGAATTTTAACAGCAAGTACTGAGTGGATCCCTGTAAACCCTTTACCCTCATTATTCACAATGACAGGCTCTTGTCTAAGGGCCTAATAAGTGTATAAATAACATTGATCACTTTCTCTCTCAAATACAGCCTGAAGGGTTTGGGCTGACACTGATGCAAGGAGGAGAGCTGAAAGGAGGGGAAAATGAGTTAAGTCCCTTTCTGTTCTTTCTCTCCCTTTGACCTGATGGCTTCTATCAATGTTGAGGTACACAAGTGCAGCTTGGCAGCTCAGTGGTAAAATGTGGAAACAAGCTTGAAGCGCCGCAGGGCATAAGGGGGGTGAGGGTAAAATGACCCTCTCCAACATCTCCACACAAAAGAAACTGGCTCCTCTTTTTTGGATTCTTTTAATTAACACTTGCTTTGAGTATTCAAGGGCTGATACAGGGAAAGAATTTTCTCTTTCCCTTACCCTCCTCTCCCTCACCCCTTCTTTTTCCTTTTCTACACTTCTTTTTTCTCTCCCTCCATTCTCTCTGTTTCATGTTGTCTATTTTAGAGTAGGCAGTGTTTGGATTACATGCCTGGCTGTGAGTGTGAGATAATTACCACTGACAGCTGCACTGAAGGCGACCACAGTAAACCACCTTACTCCCTCCAACAGGTCAGTTAGAGACCAAGAGAAGAAAAGCGAAAGAAGAGGATGAAAGAGGATGGGGATGAGGTTGTAAAGTGAAAATAAAAACAACAAAATAAAAAACTAAATGCAGTGGTACAGGTAGAGAAACAAAATTTCTCCTCATATTTGCAATAAGATATGATAGGGAATCCCCCACCCCCCCAAAAAGGTACTTTGTGTCTGACATGTACATATACACAAATAATATGGATCTAAAAAATGAGTACTTTTGTTTCAATTTCATCAACATGGTTTTATGCAAGTTTGATAGTGGCAGTGGCGATGGATGGTGGAGGTAAATGTGAAAGAAGATAATTGAAAGAGGCATTCTTCTCTCAACATAAAGATACAATTACTCACGCAGCACAACAGATTTACTAAAGTCAAACTTGAAAAGATGGCACCGATTCTGACAAGCTACCTCAGTTCTGAATGTCACCTGAAGAAGGCCAGTTGTGAAAGGAGTGGGCTCTGTCTGAACTTACGCTGAGCCATGTTACCATGGAAACCACCAGGCCCTTCTCAATAAAAGCCTGGTTCCACAGACCCGTATCTGGTAAGGAAGGATTATTTTAATGCCAGTTGGGAAATGGAGGGAGGTGGTGCTCTACAAGGCAAGGCACCTCAGAGGCTCCTCGGCATTAATACATTAGCAAACACCATGAAACACTGCATAAATGTCAGCAATTACAGACTAGGAGGAAGGGTGGGTGGTGGTGGAGGGGTAAGTGGATGAACGGATGCAATAAGGATGTCCCACTGGCTGTCAATCACTACAACAGGTGTGGAGGAAGCACTGCCAATCAAAACGGCTCTAATGAGATGAAGCCTGTCGGAAAGCCTCCAAGAAGAAATGCTTGGGCAAAAGGAGGAGGACTTAGAGGAGACAAGAGAAAAGGCTCCATCAGTTTATTTCAAAGGATGTTACTGTCCCGTTAGCCTCTCAAATCAGCTGTTGCAAAGACCTCTGTCATCATCCTCAGCACTGTTCAGCACAGCTTTGCCAAAGCCTCAAGAATCAAAAGGAATTTGAAGACAGAGCGACATCATGGTATTTGCAAATAATGCCAGAGTATTTGCTTTAATCTACTTGGAGTAAAACGAACTCCATCAAGTTTTAACTATTGCAAAGTCCAAAATACTTTCTTCTGACTGGGAACTTTTTCCAGTGCGATCAAGACTGTTGTGATGCAGTAAACCCAAAGAAAATGAAAACAAATGCTAAAACAAACATTCACACAAGGACAGTGTGCGTCTTCCCATGATCCCCAATTTGGCTACACTAGAATATATTATAAACTTTCTTCTAAGGAATACACAAACAAGGGAATGCTGTAATCGTAATTAAAAGTTCAGGAAAAAATTTGCTTGTTGACAAGTAATAGCTACGCATCAAAGAGTCACATGAGCTTTAGGTTAAAGACAAATACATTTGAGGTGGTTAGCATATCCAGCAAGCAAGATAAGACAAATAAATACATTGGTTAGGTTTTACTGGCCAACAAAACATCATCATTCATGTGTTATGGAAAAATATTAAAGGAAATTTAGATTAGTGAACCAATCTTTTGTTCAATGCCAACTGAGCATTATACTTCCTGGTCCATTTTCAATTCTTCCTCGGGCCCGAAAAGATCCAGAGCACAATTAGCAATGAAACACATTCAGTGGACAGTGTCAAGCGAGGCGATACAACACCTAATTACCTCATTGAAACTGAAAATATCTAACAAAACACTTAGTTTTCAATAGAATGTTTGACTAAATTGATCAAACATTACATTTACTTTAAAAGCCTTCTAAATGTCAGGAAAAAATATGACGAGCAGTTGCATGCAATACGATAAAATGTCATGTTATTTGTATCCGCAAATTTTATCACAATAACCATGTCAGAGTTACTGCGTCGTACCAAAAAAGTTTTCAATATTGTTAGCAAATCAACAACAGTTTTGCTACTTAAGCAAAATTTTACATTTCTTTGGAATACATGTTCTACACAAACCCCTTTATATGACAGAAACTGATGTAATGTGTTAATTTATTAAATTATGTTGCAAAAAAAAGTTCAAACTAAGCTGACCTCTAAACAAGTTAAAAATAGTCAGTCTAAATTAAACCAATCAGCAAATACCTGAAACAAACACGTACCGGTAAGCTAAATAAATTCTAAAGTTTTTAAAAACTGGTGCTAATGACAACTCAGAGTATAATGTACTGAGGTTGGATACACACAGTACACGAAGAAGAGCCTAAAATAAGAGGCACATTTGCAAATGTGCACAAACACTAACATACATGTACATGTAACTTAAATATTAATACATACTTGATGGCAAGGCTCAGTTAAACAACCATCACTTTAACGGTAAGTGGGATAATGTGTAGAGCTAAAAGTAATCTGAGGTCTGTGGCTGCTATGTTTATTGGCCCAAACCCCAAGAGATGAGACTGGGCTAATGAGCTAGACACTAACATTGGCTTCCCAGTCCCACCCGCCTGCTAGGCCAGCCAAGCCCCGGGCTTTCTCTGTTAATACTTTCAGACGTTTCAATAAGAGGGCTATGGCTAGTGCAGAGGCCATTATTACACTTCTGTCACTCTCTTCTCAGTGCTTTTTAATATCTTCTCATACAGGGGAAAAACTAGACACTGCAGATGTGTGTTAGCCAGGGACTGGGCCTTTGTTGACACAGAGTGCTCAAATTTATTTGTGATCTTTGGCCAGTAGACCCATTAAACAGGTACGAGTTAAAGTCTGCTGATCACAAAAAAAAAAAAAAAAGTGAAATGAAAAGATAGGCACAAATATTCTACAATTTCCTTAAATAATTTGATATCGATATGAGACTAATACAACTTGAGTTTTTATTGCTTTCTTCTATTTTGCCCAACAAGCACATAATCTTGACTCCACTGCTTGAAAATGAACAAACACACTGTGTATGTGGCCTGAGCATCTTTTTTC